CAACTTCCCCCGACGAGCATCCAGGAACAATGGTTCGGCGCAGCCCGGCGCAGGCTTGCGGGGTCACGACCTCTCAACCACGATGGCATGACGTGGGTCGACCCGCTCGATTTGCTCCCAGCCACCACCTTGAGCCCTTCATTCGAGATGCCTACGCATCAGTGTAACGCGCTGTGCAACGGCCCTGTGTACGCGTGGGCATGCCACTGCTGATGCCTAGGCATCCGCATGGGTATGCTCACGCTTGCATCCAGGGATGCGCCCATGGACGCCGCTGGGCGTAACTGGACGCAGCTAGGCATCGACCTGGTGGTGCCTCGGCATCGAACTGGCGATGCCTAGGTATCGGCAGGACAGTGCGCAGGGTAGGCATTGATTGTTCAAGATATCATAGCCAGTGGACCGTGCCAAGGCATGACAGTTCAGGGCACGGGCGGATTTCCCAAGGGTTTCGCTGCTCATTGCCGTTTTGTCTACTGCTCATGGCGGCGCTTGCAATTTTGCGTCTTTGCCCGGCTTAGCGCCGTCCCCCGCTTGTCGTGAGATGGCGCCTGCTCGCCATTTCAGGTGACATTTCCATTTCCGTCCCCGCCCCCCCGTCATTCTGTGACAGTGTGTTTGGATACGATCGAAGCACGGGGGGAAAGAGGGGAACGGACGCGGGTTGAGGAGGAGGAGGAGGAGGAGGATCAGGAAGAGGAGGTTGAGTTTCACGACGACGACGACGAAGACGAGTTCCCGGGGCTCGCCGAGGTAGTGGCTCGTGTGCTCGACGGCGCCGCCAAGGCCTCCACGGCGAAGGCGAACAGGCAAGCGTTGTACGACACTGCCGACGAGCTGGAGCCTCACGCCATGGCGGGGCCGTGAGGCTGGATCGTGGAGGAGGAGGAGGAGGAGGAGGAGGAGGAGGAGGAGGACGACGAGGACGAGAAGGAGGAGGAGGATGAGGGAGGAGGAGGAGGAGAAGGAGGGTGGACGAGGAGGAGAAGGATGGTGATGCTGATGATGATGATGCTGATGCTGATGCTGATGCTGATGCTGATGCTGATGGTGCTGCTGCTGATGATGATGCTGATGATGCTGACGCTGATGATGCTGATACTGATGATGATTATGATGATACTGACACTGATGATAATGCTGATGCTGATGCTGCTGCAGCTGATGATAATAATGATGATGCTGCTGATGATGACGACGAAGATGATGATGATGATGATGATGATGATGCTGATGATGCTGATGCTGATGCTGATGCTGATGATGAATGTGATGCTGCTGATGATGATGATGTTGATGATGATGATGATGATGATGATGATGATGATGATGATGATGATGATGCTGATGATGATGATGATGATGGTGATGATGATGATGATCATGATGATGGATGATGATGATGATGATGATGATGATTGATGATTATTATGATGATGATGAGTGATGCCGAGGAGGAGGAGGATGAGGAGGAGGGGAGGGAGGAGGAGGAGGAGGAGGTGGAGGTGGAGGTGGAGGTGGAGGAGGGGTTGGGGAGGAAGATGTGGAGGAGGAGGAGGGAGGAGGAAGGAGGGGAAGAGAGATGAGAGGAGGAGGGGGGGGGGAGGAGGAACGAGGAGGGAGGAGCAGGAGGGGGAGGAGGAGGAGAGGATGAGGAGGGAGGATGAGGGGAGGAGGAGGAGAGAGGAGGAAGGAGGAGGAGAGGAGGAGGAGGAGGGAGGAGGAGGAGGAGGAGGAGGAGGAGGAGGAGGATGAGGAGGAGGAGGAGGAGAAGGAGGAGGAGGAGAAGGAGGAGGAGGAGGGGGGAGGAGGAGATGTGGGGCAAGAAGGAAGAGGAAGAGGAGAAGGAGGAGGAGGAAGACAAGGAGGGGGAGCGAAGAGAAGGAGACGGATGTTGATGATTATGTTAATGATGACGCTGTTGATGATGATGATGATGATGATGATGATGATGATGATGATGATGATGATGATGATGACGAGGAGGAGGACGATGATGATGATGATGATACGATGTTGCTGCTGATGATGATGGATATGATGGTGATGATGATGCCGATGATGATGCTGATGATGCTGCTGCTGATGAAGATGATGCTGCTGATGAGGATGATGATGATGATGCGAATGATGCTGCTGATGCTGCTGCTGCTGATGATGATGCTGATGATGATGATGACGATGATGATGATGATGATGTGATGATGATGATGTGATGATGATTCTGATGCTGATGATGATGATGATGATGATGATGCGATGATGATGCTGATGATGATGATGAATGATGATGATGAATGAGATGATGATGATGAGGGGAGAGGAGGGAGGAGGAGGAGGAGGAGGAAGGAAGAGAAGAGAGGATAGGAGAAGGAGGCGTGGAGGAGGAGGAGGAGAGAAGGGGGGACGAGGAGGAGGGAGAACAGGAGGAGGGAGGAGCAGGAGCAAGAGGGGAGGAGGAGGGATGAGGGAGGAGATAGGAAGGAGGAGGAAGGAGGAGGAGGAGGAGGAGGAGGAGGAGGAGGAGGCGGGAGGAGGAGGAGGAGGAGGAGGTAGGAGGATGGGGAGGGGGAAAAGAGGAATGGAGGAGGGGGAGGAGGAGGAGGAGACGAGGAGGAGGAGGGAGGAGGAAGGAGGAAGGAACATGAGAGGAGGAGGCGGAGGAGAAGGAGGGAGGAGGGACGGAGGAAGAGGAGGAGATGAGGAGGAGGAGGAAAGGGCCAGTGGATGTGGGGCAGGAAGGAATAGGAGGAGGAGGGGAGAGGAGGAGGAGGAGGAGGAGGAGGAGGAGGAGGAGGAGGTGAAGGACGAGGAGCAGAGGAAGGAGGAGGAGGAGGAGGAGGAGGAGGAGGAGGAGGAGGATGAGGATGGGGGGACGCGTGAAAACTTGCCGCCCTACGGCTAGAGCTTCGTTGGAAGACCATTCCGGTCCTCTGCGTGATGTGTTACAGGCTGTTGGCCACGGGCGCGAGTGCCCCCTAGCCTGTGTGTGTGGTTGTGTGTGTGTGTGTGTGTGTGTGTCGAAGGGGGGGGGGACAGTGCAATGTCTATCTCGTCTCTCTCTCTCTCTCTCTCTCCCAGGTTGGAGGGCACCGACGTCTTGCTACAGTACTCGGGCTCCCACTTTCTTCATACCGTCTGCAGCGGCTGTTGATGCACATGATGACGACCATCGTCCACTATTGGTCGTGGGAGTGGAAGTCCTCCCGTTCCTGAGGGCAGGTGTTCATTTCAAAAGTAACACAACATTGTGCGGAAGACACCCGGTTGAGGATTGGGGTGCGCCAAGAAATTCCTGCTTCGGGATGGGCGTTCGGCCCGCTGTATTTCGATGGCGTGTCAGTGGCCAGGGTGCCACTGGGGGGAGCGTCTAAACGAGATGCTTCAGAACCTTTATCACAACCTCGGAGCGGATAATTTGCCCCTACCCTAGGCAGGAATGGCCAAGGCATGCTCCTCCTCCTCCTCCTCCTCCTCCCCCTTGTCCTCCTCCCTACTCCTACATTTCCTCATCCTCCTCCTCCTCCTCCTCCTCCTCCTCCTCCTCCTCCTCCTCCTCCCTCTCCTCCTCCGCCTCCATCTTCTCCTTCTGTCCACCTCCCCCACCCCCCGCCCTTTCCCACTCATCCCTCGTCCCTCTTGCTCTCCCTTTACTCTTTCCTCTCCCCCGCCTTCCTCCTCATCCTCTCCCTTCCCCAGGATCCGACGTTGCGAGAGAGTTGCAACACCGTGAAAATCACAATCAGAGACCAGAGCCCTGAAGCCCATTTTTCTGCGGCATCTTTCGAGTCCGATCGATGCATGATGGGCCCCAACCTCGGTAAAGACTCAGGCGTTTCGGCGTTGCGTTACGGGGAGGGGCGATAGGTCGGGGGGTGGACGGAAGGTGCACCTTTCGTGCACCCTGGGGGCCCAACAGTTTGACGGTACGCGTTTCTCGCCCCTCCTCCCACCACTCCCCCATCGATCGCCCGCCCGATTTACAGCAATGCCGAAAAAGCGCCCGGCGTGGAACATTGAGGAGGAGGAGGAGGAGGAGGAGGAGGAGGAGGAGGAGGAGGAGGAGGAGCGGAGGAAAAGGAGGAGGAGGAAGGAGGAGGATCAAGGAGGAGGAGGAGGGGGAGGAGGAGGAGGAGGAGGAGGAGGAGGAGGAGGAGGAGAGTGAGGAGGAGGAGGAAGGAGAAGTAGGAGGAGGATGAGAAGGAGGAGGGGGGAAGAGGGAAGAGGGACAAGGAGGGAGGAGGCTGCCCCCTCCTCCCCCCCCCCGCTGAGGAGCGGCGCCTGAGGCCACCCGCGGAGGCCACGGAGGCGGCGGGGAAGAGGCCTGGCGGCGCGCGCGGAGGCCCGTGAGGGAGGAAGCCTGCCGCTCTGGCGCCGTCAGCGCAGAGGGGCGGCGGCAAAGGGTGGTGGGGGGCAGCAGGGGGGGGGGGGGGAGGAGGGGGCGGGCATTCGTCCACTACGTTGTAACATTTCCATGCTTACACCTACGACTCAGCTCTCCTCCTCCTCCCCCTCCTCTCCTACTCCTCCTCTCCTCCCCTCCTCCTCTTCGCCTACTCCTGCCTCATCCTCTTCCTTCCTCCTCCATCCTCCTCCGCCTCCCTCCTCCTCCCCTCCTCTTTCATCCTTGTCGTCATCATTCCATCCCCATCGTCATCCTCCTCCCTCCGTCCCCCTTTCATCCCCCTCACTCCCTCCTCTCACTCCGTTCTCCATCCCGTTCCCTACCAATGTCTCCCTCCTCTCCTCCTCCCTCCTCTCCTTCCTCCCGCCCTCCTCCTCATGTCCTCCCCTCCTCCTTTCCCGTCCTTCTCCTCCTCCCTTCCTCCTCCTACTCTCTTTCCCGTACCTCCTAGTCTCCTCCTCATCCTCCTCCTCCTCCTCTCCTCCTCACTCTTTCCCGTCCTTCTCTCTCTCCCTCTACCTCTCCTCCTCCTCTCTCCTCTCCCGTCCTTCTCATCCTCTCATCTTCCTCCTCCTCCTCCTCCTCCTCCTCCTCCTCCTCCTTCTCCTCCCCAGCTCCTTCTCCTCCTCCTCCTCCTCTTCCTCCTCCTCCTCCTTCTCCTCCTCCTCCTCCTCCTCGTCCTCCTCCTCATCCTCATCCTCATCCTCATCCTCCTCCTCCCCAGGCGTTTTTGCTTCTTTCGGGCAGCTGGGGCCGCCCGATTTTTTTTGGAAACCCCAGCCATTCGCCCGTGTTCAGCGGGTGGCGG